TATTTAATAATAATTATGGACTTTACCATAAACATGTTTTGCTGCATCTTGCATATCAAAATACACCTGTCAATGTGATTTTATGGTACATTATAAATCGGCATCGATCACATTCGTAAAAGTATGTAAAGTAGGTGCTTCATTTCCATTACTATTTTGTTCACACCTATTATGAATGCGACCCCATTTGGAACAAGTGTTACACATGTGATCCGTAACGAATGTGGCCACTAAGTGCTTATATAAAGTAATGAACATGGAATTTGACAAGACTAAATACAAATATTCGCTAAGTGTAAGCATTTTATATTGATAAACTAATATAAGATATTCTTAAAATCTAATTAGAATAATTGCACGATACGAATCAATCATGATGAAATGCCATATAAATTAAATAAAATTAAATAAAGAAGTTATACGGGTTATAGTGTAGTTTAGTATTCACTTTTAGGTAAATTATAATTAAAAGAGGCATTTCTGATAACATAGGTGCCAGAGCTTTAGACCTTATCACATATGATGTGGGTAATTGTGTAGGATATATAATTAAATATATACTTTAAGTTTGAGAAATATAAAGTTATAGTAAAATATTATGTTTTAAAATACTAGTACATGCTCAATAAGGGACGATTATTCTCAAAATATGGGGGCCTGTGTTACACACTTTAGTTTTAGATATTTGTGATGATGAGAAACAAATATTTGAAGTTTAAAAGTAAATCCTTTAAGAAATAAAGAAGCTATGTGAAAAACAAATTTAAACAAAAATCTATGTTAAAAGTAGGGATGTAAATAACAAAAGTAATGAATCTTATCATACATACAGTTTCGAGTAACTATCAAAAGAAATAAAGAAGTTGTAATGAAAAATATATCTACTTCACAAAAACTTGATTATGAATATTGACGCAACGTTGTTCAGACGGACGGCGTGTCGTTAAGGACTGACTTTGAAGTACGTTGAACAGTAGGGCTTAAACAGGCCATGTTCTTTGTTCCGATAAAAAAAGTTATTGTTGTATTTTTGTTTTTTCATTGCATACATCATCCATTAAATATTTGCTGACGGTATGCGTTTAAACAATAACATTAAATCATACTTATTTTATAAATACAAATTATATGCCATCTGGTTTATGAAAATGGTGGCTTGTTTGTGAACATTCTCTTTTGATTGTCAACGAGTTCTATCATTTTGCACCAAGGCTACTGAATAAATTAATAACTGCAATTTCAATCATTTATAACTTCTTATATGGTATGCCAAAGTTTTAAGAAAATTCAGAATTTGCAAAGTGTTTCGTGCTTTATAATTGGTTGTATCCACAGACATGTATAAAAACAAACTTTTGGTCACATCACTGTCATATTCGTGTGATCAAATCCGGAGAGGAGTATAGCAAAATGTGTATCTATTATCTAATACAAATGGATATCATATATATAACAGAATGTAATTATTCGCAGCAAAATATCTACAGTCAATATTTAGTATGTTAAAGACATTTTCTACAGTTTTATGAAAATTTAATCATTTCATAGAATTTTCTAATTTTTTTGTATGGTAAGTAAAATTTAATGGTGAATTCAAAAATAAAAAGAAAAATATATGTTGGATTTTTTATAAAATGGCAGTTTCCATGGTAACCGTATATCTAAAAACTGTCAAAATAGCCAAACTGTGTTATAACAAATAGAAAATGTATAAGATAGCTAAATACACACAAAAAGCATTGTTTTATTAAAAAATGAGTTTTCCATCCTCCATAACTGAACAAAAAATGAGAAAAATAAACATGAATTCTGTAAATGATTAAAGATATTGAAAAATTTCTTTCATAGGATTCTCTAATTTTTTTGTATATAGTGTAAAATTTAATGACAAATTCAAAAATTAAAAAAAAAAATATATGTTGACGTGTTGGATTTTTTGAAAAATGGCAGTTTCCATGGTAACCGTATATCTCAAAAGTGTCAAAATAGCCAAACTGTGTTATAAAAATGTATAAGACAGCTTATTACACACACAATAAACATAATTTTATAGAAAACTTGCTTTATCTAAGGGTTTTGTGAAAAGCAAACGATAATCTGAACATATTTCTTTAAAAATGAGTTTTTCATGCTTTTTAACTGATAAAAAAAATGAGAAAAATAAACATGAGTTCTATAAATAATTAAAGCTATCAAGAAATTTCTTTCATATAATTTTCTACATTTTTAATATATCAAGTAAAATTTAATGGTAGATTCAAAAATAGAAATAAAAATATATGTTGACGTGTTAGTTTTTTGTAAACGGGCAGTTTCCATGGTTACCACATATGTCAACTCTCAAAGTTACCACGCTTTCTTAAGAAATATCAGTGTTATACTAAATGCATTGTCATATATACAACAAAAAGATGTTGTAATATAAATTTCTATTTCTTTTGATGTTATATTAAGTAAATGATACTGAATATGTTTTTAAAACAGGTTATATAAGGCCATTTTATTTCTTCACTCGACTAACATACCCGAAGAGTGAGCAAGTATTCAGAAATTTATAAAGAAAATAATGAAAATCGGAACATTTCTTAGATATTATTTTTGTTTTTTATTCAAGATATTTAGAATATATCATTTCAAACTTTGTCCATTTGTCTGGCGGTAATCAAGTGTCGACACCCTTTCGCGTCACTATACCACAAGTGGGTGGGGTAACGCGCGCAAAATCATCATCAATGCTGTCGTACTAAAGCTAGGAAAAATGCTTTATCTGATGTTGTCTAAACGACCTCTTATTCTTTTGAACCGATCTCCTCCTGAACATTTAGAAATGTATATGCTCTATTATTTACTCATTATTTGCTTATAGCCGAAAATTAAACAGTTATCCGAGTACTATTCAACTTGACCTTCTTTTTGAAGAGTAATTGTCCGTAGTTATCTTTCTTGGAAGCGCAAAACGATGCGCACAAAAAACTACGGGAAACGTCTTTAAGTTAAGTTTTTTTTTATGCTTATGCCCCGCACTTAACGAACATTATTCTATCGATTTACAAAGTACTTTTGTATGATTTTAATAAATGCACAATATATAAAAATTATTGATAAAATGGGTCAAAGACAGAAATGGCCAGGTTGCATTTGTAAACAAAATATAATGAGGCTGTGATGTTATGAAAATTTTCTACCATTAACAATTTATGTCAAAAATTTGTCGAAAATTTAATTAAATCGGTAAACAGGAAGTAGATGAGCGACATACATGAAATTAAATACCACAGTATGAGTCCACGTGTTAATGCTCAAGAGGCTGTGATGAGTAGTTTTAATTGAACATTTAACCAAGTCGGTAAACAGGAAGTGGATAAGCAACAGACCTGAAATTGAATCCCACGGTATGGGACCATGTGTCAATACTGTATACTAAATATGAAAAATGTTACGAAAATACTTTCCCCGAACGCCCGGTCAGCAGCTGAGACATTATAAAACAGAAAGATTTGCAAATGGTAATGAAAAGGATATACTCAAAAATAAATCGGAAATAATTCGTTTTGTCTTTCTTTTCTTAGCCCATTTCGAATGATAAGCGTTGCAACATAATTAATATACTTATTTTAGAAAAACAAAGATAGCGAATAATCTGAAAATATGCACAAAATTGTTTTGGTATATAAAATATACCAATAATCTTGACCAGTTATTTCCAGTACCGTCACGTCAGAAAAAACACAGTGGAGTCCCCTTAAAATTAAATGAATCTTTGTATTTTATTTACAACAAAGTTACGTAACACGGAAAGCATGCTTAAATCTCGAATACATATCAAATATTCATGAAAACTACACTTGTATCAGAGTAATGTCCCTTGAATCACTGATTAAACCGTGCTATTAGTACACCTAACTATGTGAAACTGTCTACAGTTTCCAATGTTTACTATTGTGAAATAAGTTGAATGAATTGAACATAAACTAAAACAACTATTTTCATCTTAACTTTATTCACATTCAGATCCCATAATTTACAACAATTATACATGGCATTTAAATTTCAATGGCAAAATGGCAAATGTAATAAAGCTGAGAAAAACTTGTTGACCAGGCCAGAAGAGCTACGTTTTCTGTAATTAAAAAGGTGGACCCATATCTGTTTAATTACATTTATCTTATACTATGGTTTTACCAATTTTATTATATGGTAGTGATTTTTGGGGGTTTTAAAATGTACAAAATCTTGAGCAACTTCACTTTAAGTTAGAAACTGCAGGTCAAAGCAGGAATATTGCATAACTGGAGTAAGTTAGTAACTTCAAAAATTACACAATATCTAAAATAGAAAAATGTAGACATTAACAAATTGAAAGAAACCAACGAATATATCATTTATGTCCAAAACAATCTCTCGGGAATAAATTGTTACTTGTTTGAATGTAACTTTTTTAAATTTCATTCATAAAATGTTTATTGAAAAAAATCTCAAATCATCCCAATCTTAATAATTTAGAATCTTAAATGAATAGCACTGACTCCTCAACTTTATTAAAACTTACACAATTATTCTGTAACATTATTTTTTCAAAATTTAAATAATTAATTCTACTGTATGGCATGATTTTCTCAACCTGTTTTGTTACCTCTGTATGGTTGTATTAACATATAAATATTTTAGATAGTTTATTTAAGACAAAACATATCCAAAGGGTAAGTGATGTCAAATACCTATGTGTGTTAATAAAAATGTTCTTATTTATTGTATAATTTTATGTATATATGTTTTGATAATCTCATTTGAAGTATCAAATGTTGTTAACTTTTCATAACCTTATGCATATTATTTTACATATTCCTTGGTTTTGAATAAAATCTTTGGAATGAATAGTATATTTTGAGATTTATTTTTATATAAACGATTCTTTAAGCAACATATCTATTTTTGTAAAAACGAAAGAAAAATAATAAATGAATCAATTAAAATTAAATTACAATTAAAAAAACGTCCTGTTCAATATAAATACTTTCAATATAAACTGTGGCATGCTAAATAATCGCGATATAGGAAGTTTTTTCGTTTCATCCTAATATTTTGGGCCAATGACTGAACGAATATCTTTGAATATGTATCAAAGTTTATAATTTATAAGCATCTTTTTATACGCAAAATTATCATGTTACTAATTACATGAATACGAGGTTCGAAATATTACATGAGAGACGAAATTCTTCTTGTAGTAGACGTGACAAGTTATCGTGTAACAGTTTCCATCCCGTGATATATAAATTATTCCTCAAAAAGTAAAAAGCGCAATTCGTCTTAAAAGCTATGAAGAACAAAATATGAACGTAACAATGAAGGTGTAATTATCTAGAAAAAAATAGTAAAAACTCATTTTATTAAGCGTTCTTTAAAGCAATTGTGTACTTAATTGAGCTTAGTTGTCTTCTGCATCATTTAACTGTTGTTATCTCTTTCTTCCTTCGAGTTTTTCAAAGTTTTTCATATTATTGAGACTGAGTCCTTGATTTTTTGTTCTTGTTTTTAAGTAATAAAGCTTCCTCACATGGAAAATCTTAAGTCATCAATAGCAGTGAGGGTCAGGGAATTTGAAGACCTTAACCACTTTGCCAGGATCGACTTTTGATATCGTCAAAACTCTTTCACCATCTCACTGGGTTGTAAATTCAATAGCATGAACATGAAAATAATAAATCAGATCGAGTAATGTATACTTATATATCATTTATTCGCGCAGAAGTTCCAAAATTCAAATATAGATGCTTATAGTATAATGCATTTTAGTTTTTTCTTGCTTAAGTTCCACGCCCTTCTCAAAAGATTGAAAAATCCAGTTTCATCTTTTCGACCGCTTTCTATGTCGTCTTTGAGCTCATCTAAAGGATCTGTATCTGTATCTGAAGCTTCGGAATCTTCCTTTGTTTGATCGTCAGGAACGTTTATACTTGTATTATTGTTGAAACCTTTATCTGACAAATACGTTACGCGTACAGAATTAACATCAATATTTCTATTTTTTCTTCGGTTGATTTTCTTTTCTTCGTCAAAAGTGCTCGAACCAGAAGCAAAGTCATTTGTCTCATTAACTTCCAGTATATTGTCAAGCATTTTACAATCGTTGTCAGAAACTTGTAAACCAGCTTTCCGTAATATGTGCATTGTTTCCATAGATATTTCTTCAGACCGCCTATTGTAAGCATAAGCAGTCGCTAATTGGAAAGCTACATTTGTAAAGTGAGTATTGTTGTTAGTCCTCTTTATTTCTTCCACCATGCGTATTATCCGTTTTACTTGAGCTTCCTTTCGTTTTACGTCAGTTGATTTATTTTCGATAGGAGCTATTCTTGGCCTTCCACCGCATTTTCGTATCAAATCTTGCAAATCTTCTGTTGTATCAGTGGTAATATATTCATCTACAGATCGTTCGTCTTCCGTTCTGGTTAGAATGATGCATGCATATTTCTCTACACCACTGCCAAACCATTCGAAAAACAAATTCTTTGTTTTTACAAGCTCGTCTGTAACCCGACCTATCTCGAGAACAAACGCGATTGCATGAAAACCAGGGGTTGCAAATAAAAGCGATCGGATAAGTTCTTTATGTATTTCACGCTCTGTTTTATTAGTGTCGAAAATGCCTGGTGTATCAACCACTTCGATAGTTTTTCCAAACCGAGTACATACCTGAAATTAAGATCTATAGCATTATTAAAAAACACATCTACGCTATTTATGCTACATGAATTTTTTGCAATTGTTTTTGCGGTTGAAACTGCCATTTCCCTCACGAACCGAGATAGGTTACATTATCACATAAAGAGGACATTTTTTAAATTTATTTTGTCGCTTCACCTCAGAAATCCATATTTTTGAAAATCACCAGAAATAACAAACATTTGTTTGATAATGTTTTGATAATTGATTAGGAGCATATTATAAACTCAACAACTAAACATATAGCGCTGAAAATGTAATGATGTGTAGTAAAGGTAGCAAAATGTAAACAAAGTAGTATTTTTTAGAGACAGTTTTTGTGTATGGCAAATGAGGTTGTTTTTTTAACTGTGACAAGATAGCGAAGATTGAAAGTTTCTGAGAATTAAAAAAAAATATAACATAATTGGGCGTTTTAAAAAACGGAATGTGCACATCTTTGTCCGATCCAGTTTAGTGAGCAGACCACTTATTGAAATGAGGTGAGTACTCCATTCTTAGACTTTTTTTTAAAAAAAATTGTGGGCGGGGCGGGTATTAAATAAGTATTTTTATGACTGTGAAACCGCTTGTTTGATCAATATGAAATACACACGATTTACTTAACCACAAAAACATTTTGTTTTCACAAGAAACACCGTATGATTTCATTAATTGTTAGACCAATATTGCCTATAGAAAATAATGTATTTGGAAAAATGTTGGTTAGTTAATTGTTAGTTTCTGACTCCCGTGGATTACAAAAGGTCACGTGGCACAGGCACATTGTAGCAGTGTATTTTTCTTCTTGATAGGTATTACGGGAAATGAATTTAAACTCAATTGTAAACTCAATTGAAAACGACCTTAAGTAAACGTCGAAGCATTTATATTGAAATATAGTAAAGCCCTTATAAAATACTTTTACATACTATCCTATGTTAGTTAAGAAATCCTAAAGCCAGATTTCTATCCCCATTTGAAAATACAGAAAATATAAATGAAAATTCCATTTGATTTGAAATGGTTGAAATCCTTTAAATGAAACAAAACGAAACAAAGAAGGTTTACCCCTGACCATCCGGTAGTAGCTGTTACTGATTTTGCTGAGAAAGCTACGGCGAACTTGTCTTTTCCAAGAATCGAATTTCCCGTGGAACTTTTTCCATGACCTGTCCTTCCCACAAGTAATATACGTATATCTGTCAAAAGAATATGTTTTATTATTTTGAAATTGAAACTACACAAAAACACTAAATTTAAAGTTGCATGCCTCCTATGTGAGCCAATATATTTTATGAAAATCAAACTTGAGAAAAATGTACTAATATTTCAATAAAAAAAATCAAGATTCAAGTAATAATTTACATGTTATGTGAGATGCTAAAATATTGGTTATATCATCGTATTTCTACAGCGTAAGTAACACAGGACAATTTTAAATGTTTTGACCTCTTTTTGGTAATTTATGTGGATTGTAAGTTCCGTTTGTAAATTACTTTGTTTGTTCACTTGACAATATTTTACTTTAAAATACATTTTGTGATAATTTGGGGTTTTACTAAATCAAAGGAAATTGAAAGACTTCATCTTAAATTTTGTAAAAAAATATTAAATGTAAAAGTTAATTCATGTAATGTTGCTGTGTATGGTGAACTAGCACGTTATCCTTTATATATTTCAAGATATGTTAAGATTTTAAGATTCTGGTTTAAAATGCTTGAGACAGATAATATCATTCTTAAAAATGTATATAGCATTGCTCTTGAAGACTGTAATAATGGTAAGAAAAATTGGTTATCAAATCTTAAATTGTTATTATGTAATCATGGTTTTAGTGATATTTGGGATTTTCCAGATTCCGTAAATAGTAAAATATTTTTACAAATATTTAAGCAAAGGTTAATTGATTGTTTTTTACAAAGTTGGCTTTCTGGTAAAGAGAACAGTCCTGTTTTGTATCTGTATAATCATGTTAAAGATTCTTTTGTATATGAAAATTATCTTGATATAATACCAAGTACTTTAAGGAAGTATCTTACAAGAATTAGAATATCTTCGCATTCATTACATGTGCAAACTGGTAGGTTTCATAGAAATAGAATTGTTAGAAATGAAAGATATTGTTTATATTGTAATCTACATGACGTCGAAGATGAATACCATTTCATTCTAATTTGTCCTTGTTATATTGATATAAGAAAAAAATATATAAAAAGATACTATTATATAAGAACTAGTATGCTTAAATTCACTGATATGTTACAATCAAACAATAGAAGTATACTTTTAAATTTATCCTTGTATGTGCGAGATTCGATGTCTCATAGAAATAATTTAGATATAGTAGATACAACTTAATATATTAATAATTCATCCTCTATATTGATATGAAAGAGACATGTTTAGATCCGATCTTGTGATTTATGTTAGTATGTATTGTAAAATTGTTTATTTATGTATGACGATGTATAATTGTACAAGTCGAAAATAAAGTATCTGTTCTGTTCTGTTCTGATAATACTGGCAAGTGAAAAATCATTATATTCATGAAAGTTAAATTAAAAGACTTTAGAACTGTAAACAATTATGTGGCAATTATAACATGTATAAAAAAACTTCAAAAACAATTACGTAAAGAGCCGATTTGTGTACATTTGAAATGGCGGGAAATATCCGTTGCCTGTAGAGAATCGTAATTTGTTAGTTTGTATACAAATGTGACGACAGAGAAAGGGTTATGATAAAATGTCATATTCAGATACTCGTTTATTGGTTACTTTTTTTTGGGGGGGGGGGGGTCATGGGACCGTGGTTTTATTTATGATACTAAAGAGAAAGAACATCAAAACACTTGGGATTATTATTTATACTTGGGTCCTACATATCTCGTACAAATCAAATAGCCTCGTGTTTTGATGCTCTTTCCTTTACTTATAAAGTAAACTAGAGTTGGCAGTATTATTACCAAATAAGATTTTGTGCGTAGGGTACCATTCCGAGACACACTAGCGGTGTTTTGTTGTTGTTTGTTTACAAATTGCAAACTTGAATGAATCTGTATATCATGTATACTATTAGGATATTGTATTATTTGTTAATGTATATACAGAACTCAATGAACTATGATTGAATACTCCTGGAAAATGAAACTTTTTAGAACAGTTTAGGGATTTATATCCGTCAATATCCTTTTTAAAGGTAATCAAAGTAAAATTTCTTTTTTTAAATGTCGATGCTTTTAATATATTTATATATTTGACTATTTCGTTAATTTTGAACAGTTTTATGACTTAAACGAAAACAAAGATATTTACATACCCGAATTTATGCTGCACTTTTGCTTTGTCGCCATCATTTAAAGCTAAGTATTATATAGTATTTTATTATATATCTTACATATACCTTATAACTTTATATCCTAACACTTATAATTTAAAGAGAGATGCCTCCTTGTTGTACAATGTATTTGCATTGTACTTTGTATTTTTCTATCTTACATTGACATTAAGTATGACGTAAAGTAGTTGATGATAGTTATACGCATGCGTCAGACTGAAGTAGAGAAAATATCTGATAGGTTATCTGGTATCAAGATATTATGTGGTTATTGAAGTGCTCTGTCTCTATTTGTATCATAGTGTTGGGACCTTTCGACTGAAAATGTGTCAGAGATAAATCGTATACTTATAAATGTAAAGTGTCTTAACTGGAGTGCAGGTATTAATTACCCGCACTTTAGTTACCGCACTGTCCGTCGGTGAATAGAAAAGATAATACACTAGAGAATATTTGTTTATTTGCCATCGTGGTCCGGTGTTCTTTCTGTTCCGTGTTTCAAAATGGAGATTTTTATTCTACTGAATTCGTCTCAGTTTCTGGCTCTGGTGAATTCAAAGTAGCTTTTTGTCGTGACCCACCCTCTCCCTCCTCTTCTTGGAAAACGCATTATTTGCATTATATTGATATTGAGAATATTGTGTATATATCTTCATCTATTACAAATATGGCTTATGAAAATAATTAATGTTTCTTTTAGAAATAGGTTACAACATCAAAAACTAGCCAAATACATATATTTTTGTACGCATAATTTAAACTTTTAATTTTGATATGTTTTTTATGCAGCATTGCCGCCGATTAATTATTGTCATGGAAATCTTTTAGATATATTCAGACTAGACAGACATTTCTATTGTGTTTTTGTATATATGTTATGAAAATGTTAATAACACAAAATGCAAGAAGATAAGTTGATTTTTGCAAAATGCTATCTTTTTAAATTAATAAAGTTTTACCTATGGGCTATTTTGCGGATTATGATCATCTCACGTGATCCTTGGACATAAGTAGAACAACGGTATTGACTGCAGAGCAGGGTTGAAGAGAAGATACCCTCATGTCTTTCAGGATGCATGTATCGTTACCTTTGATAGGTACATCCCCATTTGCACCGTTTAGATATCTTTAAGTTGACAGAAAATCGAAACAGTTTCCATAAAAGTACTGCCGCACCATTGTCTTACTCAAACACCTCGTATAAGAAAAACGGTGGGGTTTCGAAAGAATATTAACGTTGAACAGGAAACCATCGCTGAATGGCCTACCTGCCAGAACCACATCACTTTAATTCACATGTAACGTAATGTCAGTTGATTTCGTTATATTTTACATTTTCAATTTTGTCTTGTTGGGCTTTCTTTAGGGATTCTTTATTTATCTCTATTTTATATATTTAGTAAAGGTATGTTTTATTATCAGTACACATACAATGTACATGTGTTGTTATCATTGAAATATAATTTGACGTGAAATTATTACTTTCAGTTACATTGAGAGGTGTGCAAAAGATTAGTATTGTTAGTCTTTATTAGTTCATAGAAGAAAGAAAACGACATCTTTGTAAAAAGTAAGTCGTCTATAGTTTAAACTAACTACACATGGTAACTGAAAATAAGATTTAAAGAATAATTCAAGAAGAGAGTTTAGAAAATAGTTTAATGACCCATGAAATAAACCCATTTAACTGTTCATCATTTTTATCACCATTCAACATCGTTCTAAAACCATAGAAGGAAGAATATGTAGGCATCTGTATTTCATTAATAGTTTCGTCAGAGTCGGAAGGATCCGTAAAGCTGACATATTTGACAAACATTTGTTTTCATTATTGTCCTGAGATAAGGAATCTTAGGAAATTACATCTTTGATAAGCGTCTGTTTTTCATTAATACTAAAGTCCTAAAAGTCAGAACAATGCGGAAAAGTGGCAATTTTGAATTATGTTTGTTTTATTTTTCATTAATATTGCCTTCAGTGTCTGAGTGACAGGAGTCTCGTTTTCAGGAATTGCATCTGAAGTTTCCTTCGATTATGTGTCTGCAGGATATTCATATGGTCTATCAGTATGCGTGTCAATTGTTGTTAAATTACCTATTGCTGTTTCCATGTTATGTTAAATCTCTTTGATGACAACAAGCTTGTGAAAGTGTTTCAATATCTTGATCAAGTATATTGTTAACAGTTTCATCTTGAATTCTTGTTAAAATCTGTGTCGGTACCTCCTTTGAAAGCAATTGAATAGTGATAATGTAATCCCTGAATAATATGTTGATATTTTGTATGCAAAAAGCATATTAGTATTGAAAAGCATGCATCCGAAGTTTTTGCTTCTATTTTGTCAACTATTTTAAACATATCATTTACTTGACTACACATGAAAGGACACTTATTTATTTTGCCTTTTATAGAGGGACAACCACAGTCATCAACTAATTCCGTTTACTTTTGGTGTGGTCATTTATTTAAGAAAGTTTTAACCTGTTCTTACTTTGTGCTTATATCCGTTTATTTAGTAAAAGAAATTTGTTTTCGCATCTTCACCCAAACCATCTAAAAATGTAATTTGTCTCTTGAATTTCTTCAGTGAAGTTTATTTTCTTCAAAACAAGCAATAAATCGTTAAAACAGCGTCGTCTAAAATAATCTTAAAAGTATCGATTTTACTCCTGGACCAATGTCTAATAGCATTCTTTTATTGAAATACATTACGGTTTTCCTCTATAACTAACCAGTAATTACCCTCTATGCAAGTGACTGAGTACTTATCCCATTTGAAGTCTTAATCGGCAGTGAGAGACTCAATGTCCGAGATCAATTATTTAATAAATTTGAGATTTAAATATTTGCTGTTGTATAACAGATTAACAGATTAAAGGTTCCATACAAACTGTTAAATAGTTTTCAATTAGGAAAAGAAGACTTTTTATCAAATAATGTGTGTATAATCACAAAATTTAAGATTTAAACCATTATTTAAACGTTTAAACTTTCTAAAGGAGAAAACTATTTATTTTTGAGTCACAGTGTGTTCTTAATAATTATCAATAATCTTAAACATCTATTAGCTATCTTTTTTTTCATGACATTTTTGGTTATTCGTTGCAGGCTAGCTGCGATATTTGTAGGCATAATGTGATTTTATAGATTAATGTAGATAAATATAACTCTTGCAAATCTATTTAGTTTAACAGGACTGTATACAAATGCTGGCTAACTGTTAGCTGATTATTTATTGTCATCCCATGACCTAACAAAAGGCATTTCTAAATCCAAACAAGGATGAGTCCTTTATATCAAATTTTCAGGATAAAAATTAAAAAAATATATATAAAGGAGTTATACCAGGAATAGAAAGTGTAATTCAGTACTTTTGTAGAAAAATTGTAAATTTAAAGAGTAACATGTCTGGTAAATTTGGTGCTTAAGTCAGTTATAAACCTCAACACATATTATGTTGGTTAGATTCAGAACTATTTATTTAAAATTTTAATCAAATCCCTCAATAAATAAAAAGTTATTGTGAAAAGTATCATAACAGATGCTTAATTCAAAGGTGAGATGATTCTGATAATATTGGTACCAGTTTTTTATATTACTTTATCACAAATTTAGACTGGACATAAAATAAGATAATGTTTATTTCCACAAGAAATAAGTTATAGGGGGTAAAACAATCAAAGTTCAAAGTAGAAATCATTCTGAAAGTATAAATGCAAATGATCAAACATAGAGTTTCAAGTAACTTGCTACAGAAATAAAGAACATACAATGAAATTAATATTTCAATTTTCCCTAAACATCGATTTGATATCTCGACGCGGATGTAGCCAAACCGACACCATGGTGGTAAGGACTACTCCTCATTCGTATAGAACATACTTTATTCAAAAACTGTTTGCTTTTTTGTTGTTTTGTTGTTGTTGTTTGTTGTAAAAAATGCAATTAATATGATGACAATGTACATCTTCACAATTACATGCAATCTTACATCATTTCTAATACAGCACACATACAAAATGGTATTAATATCAAAATAATTCCATTTTGATTCTGAAATAATCTTGTGATCCACTGACACGTACTATCAATTCGCACCAAGTAATGAAACAATAGATTACTTCAACTTTATTAAATCAAACGTAATTATCTTAGTGTTAAGAAAATTCAGACTTCATAAAGGTTGTCAAGCTATATAACTGGTGAAATTCACATAGAATATGTCAAAAAATAGCTTTTGAATCACATTGCTTTCATTTGCATTTTTTTTACTTTTGATTGGGCTTTACGTCGCACTGACACAGTATAAAGCATATAATATGGCGACCGACATTTCAGCTTTGCTGGTGGAGGGAAACCTCAGATGCTACTCGGTACAGTATTTCAGGAGGCGCAAACGGGCACCTGGATAGAACCACTGTCGCTCATAATCAGATGATCAGCGTTCATCTATCATTTAAAGTAAAGTTATTATTCCGTGCAAGCGCCACACACTCAATTGTAAATTTTCAACGAAGTTAACATTCAGCCACAAAAATCATATAATCCAAGAACGCGTGAAATATTATAGTCATTTATAGCGCCACACACTAAATTGTAAATTTTTAACGAGGTTAACAGTCAGTCACAAAAATCTTTTAATCCAAGAACGCATGAAATTCTTGTTTATGTTTATTAACAGGAAATAACGTAAAAAGGAAAACATTTTTAATTGTCAAATATATACTTTATCTTCATGAAAACCATATTTGTGTAATAGTATTGCTCCTTGAATCACAGATAAAAACGTGTTATGAGGATGAATGGTATTGTTTTAGATTATTATTTTCTAAACGGATTCTCTATATAGCATATCTATTTTTGAAATAATGATAAACATATTCAATTTAGTGAATCAAAGCAAACACTTTGAGTGCTAGGTCACCGAATTTTGTTTTAACCTCAAATAGAATTATGTATTGAGGTACTAAAAGTTAAAAATACAACGACATAACCATTGTATTTAACATAATCGTCACTAAAAAATCAGTAAGTGTGTACATTTTTTCAGATCGTAAAATAAACAACAGTCTGAAATTTTACATACAACCATGTACCCTTCAATGGATGTCCAATCGGTAACTATATAAA